AATAGTTTTTAAGCTGAATAAATATATGTACTCTAATTGAAAGTTAAGTTTAAAATTTGTTTTCATTTTTTTATTGTTTTTGTTTTTTTATTGTAATATTACCTCTGACTTGATTTTAATGTGATTAACAGGAGATGTCAGGCGCCTGCTAATCATTCTGACAGCAGCTGTCTAAACTGTGGTCCGATCCAAGATGGCTGCCCTCTAGACATGTTGGTCAGCATCGAATGAGGCGTCTACGTATATAATTATCTATGGGTGTAGGTACCAGATCTGCTTGGGTGATCAGATCTGCTCGGTACCTTCTTATGATGTAATCATATCAAAACTCCACTTGGACAAACTGTATTGCACCAGTCTCTTAAGAATCAAATCTCTTTTGGAGTCTCAACATATTATTACCTATATTTGCTATTATTTTACATTTCATTGGCGATCTAAAGTAGCCGAAAGTAGAAAACAATCATTGTCAGTATTGAGAGAAAGTACTGCCTTCTAAGACATTTACCAAGGTGAAAAAAAGCCTCAGCTTATTTTTATTCTTTTTATTAAGAGGGGAGGATAAATGGAACATCTTAAAAATTTGTTTCGTAGAAATTTTAGACAAAGAAGACAGCTGTTATTCTACTTGTAGAAAATTAATGGATTTTTGAAATCAAGTAATAAGTAGTGTAGCCTAATATGGCTCTCCCCCTTTATATCATGGTCTTGCAGTTATTTTGTTAACCATAAAATATTTTTTTCAGTTTTGTTGCCAATCAGGTCAAACCTCATCTGCTAACATTACAGTTGCTCACAACACTGCATGATGTTATCATCGTTGTTTGGGCAATCACAGTGTTTTACATCATGTGGCAACAGTCAACCTATCATGTAGCGTAACGTCACCGGCATGCACAGGGCCCCAGCAGATCTGACCACCCAAGCAGATCTGGTACCTACATCGGCCCATAATTATGTAATAAAGCATAACTGCCTCATAAGGAGCCAGTAGAGTAATATCGAGGGAGAAAAAATAAAAATCCTTCTTGCACACAAATCGGGAGTTAATTTTAGCAGTAGAAAATTAAATAAATAAACAAAATCCTGATTTATGTTATGGACAGGTTATGAATAGAGCCCCATATTACAAAGAAAAAATCAGTTAAATAGAACCTATCTAAAATACAAATACTCAGTCATCCAGGTCACAGTAACTACAAACCAGGCGTAAATAGGTTTTTTTCTTTTTGCGCTAAAGCAATCTGTATTTGGAGTACTGATATCTTTCAGCTCCTCAAAGCTCATTTTCCTAAGCATATTACAACAGAGCTACAAATCAATGACCCAAATTATCTAACAATATCAAAAAATGTTAAAACCACAACAAAAAACACAAAGTTTCCCCAATCTAAAAAGTAAAAAGTTATTTAAGTTCTATTGAAGTGCATAGATTTCTAGATTTTAGAAATTAATTCAAAAACAAGCTCCTGCCCTTTGCCACAAATATTGACCTTCATTGGGTCTTAGGACAGACTAAATCAGAACATAACAAAATCAACCCATATTCACGGTTCTTCCATGCTAAGCTCAGTCTAATAGATATAAATCCTATAGTAAATCTGATGCCAACTGAAGGGACAAAAGCATAGAATGTCATGATCTTGGCGCTGATGGTTTGGTTTTTTCCTTTGCTCCTTCCTCAGCTGTCTAATTGGTTCTGCGGCTGATTATCGCCAATCATTTCCACCTGGTTTCTCTATTTAAGTTGTGTGTTTGCCTCCCATCAGCGCCAG